CTACCATATGACAAGATTCCATTGAGTAGAAGCTTCTTGAATTTGAGTGATAGGTGCTTCCATTTTACTTGGGCTTGTTTCTTCACTCTTTGCTTTCTTGAAATTCTTGGTTTGAAGTCCACAAAGGAAACCCAAGCTCTCTATGTTGCTTGTTGTGGATGACCAATTTGACTCCAATTATACTTTTCTTTCATGACAACAACTAATTTATATCCTCAAGTGCTTCTTCTTCCTAAGTGGCTACACAACACATGTAAAAGAGTAAAATTTGAAAAGAACATGCACTTGAGTCTTAATTGTTACCACTCCTTTTGAATATAATGGATGAGGTGGTTTCTCGAATTTTTGACACAACCCTTCATATTCATCTCTTGGAAATGAATCACCTCCATCATGAGCATCATCTTCCATTTTAATCTTGATCCTGAATTTCACTTGGAGTTTCCTCATTGTTCTGCCAGGATGCGGAACTTCCGCATTAATACAGTGAACCTCCATGATGTGGAATTTCCGCAGAAACTGCACCCTATAGGTTTTGTCATACTGTAGGTTGCTGCTTTTCTTCTTCTTAATTCTGGGCTTCCTGAGGCTTCACTTAATCAATAGCCAGCATTCTTCATATTCAACATCACATATCTATCACATACATCATCAACAAGATCTTGCTCTGCTAGAGAGCCTTTAAAAGCATCATATGGCAAGTGATTCACCAAACTTAAAATATTCTAGCCACTCCTTAATAATTCACAAATACATATATTTGTGAACTATGAGAGACTACAAAAGACAAGTGGCTAGCCAGCAAGGGTTAGGTACTAGTTACCGAGGTGAGTATGAAGTTAGAGATATATCTGTCAATTTATCTTTGGGTCAATCTTGTTAGAATGAGCAATATGAATAAGATTGATAGTTTGAGATAATATTTTCAATAAATTTGCTCAAGTACCCTAAGGCTTCATATCACCTTCAAGTACCTACACCACTCAATCAAGCACACGTTGGTACCCAAGCCGTGTTGGGACCTAAGGGGTTAGTCAATAAGGACTTAGGCACCCAACTAGCCTTTGTACTAGCGCATGGCAAACCAATTGCCTCCCTAGCACAAGTGTCATTTTTGGGTCTCCTAAGCAAATTTGAATTAATTGATGAGTTGAGCTTAGGAGTGTTATCCATGGGACAATCCACACTTAGGTATCCCTTTACCCTTCAAGTGTAACAAATGCGGTGCTTGTCCTTGCAAGATATATTCTTTTACGACACTTGTAATGAATCTTTTACGACATCAAAAAAAAAAAAAGAATTAATTGATATAAGTAACAATAACTAGTAAGAATAACAATAATTAGTATATAACAATTGTGGAAGGTCATTCTTATTTCAAGTATAAATAAAGTCGATCAACTTTACTTTGATCATGTCGCTATCCAAAAAAAACCTACATACCTACTACATATGTATATTTGATTAGCCCCTAATGAAACAATTAATCATTTTTTCACTTTATAATTATAATAAACAAATTTAAAGAAAATAATTCACACCAATTAATATTCAACCCATTATTATTGATGCAAACTTAATCTCCTTTCTAAAACAAAACAATATGGATGTTAACAAAAAATAATTCTAATTCTAGACTAGATCTAGACTTAATTTCTATTTAAAAACTAACTAATAATAGACCATAAAAATCAAGATATGGCCATTAAATAAGGGTAGAATGTTGTTCTCCTACTAAATTTAACCTAGGACCTTCAAAGAGTTGATCTAATTTCTTTCATAATTGCCTCAAGCATGATGTAAGAGAGAGAAAATAAAAAATCTATTTAAACAATTAATCTAAGGATGTTAGGAATGGCATTTACTTACCTTCTGGAGACTCCTGTGGAATCAAAATCAAAACCTTTCCTCTTAGATTTGTAATTTTTAGAATGTTTTTTGACCAAAAATACTGTGGGGGAGATCCCCACAGTGCAGGACTATTAATTAATTTTAATAAAGTTCAGAGAGTTCCTTACAACATGATTAACTTAAGGCATCTAGTCAAACACAGAAAGATGACCTAAGATCATCTTTGAAACGAACAAACTGAAGATTACATTGATGCTTAAAATTTGACAACCAAATGCTAGGGCTTGGATCTCTCTCTTTGGAAGACTTTGTCGTTGCGTACTTTCCATAGCTTCCACGCCGCTATCAAGGTTGCTTCCGTGAAAAAGGGGATGGGATGAGCTCCTCACGCTTGAGTGTACCTGTCCAGCAGAGGTAAAGATACATCCCAGTCGATGTGTATGGTTGCCTAGCATTCCTTTGCGAACTCGCGCCAAAAAATAGATGATCAATGGTCTCCTCTTCCCCACTGTCACACATAACACAAATAGCATCATCTTGGACATCCAGGTCTCTTCTACGCAACATGGACTTGGTGTTGAGCCGATCTACTAGAATCAACCAGGCAAAAAACTTCACACGTGGGGTGCACCTAGATTTACAGATGACTTTGAAGACCGGGTGTGCATCTATGTACTTGAAAACCTCAGAGTAAAACCATCACGAAGTATAGGTGTTGCCCCCAAATGGGAACCCATTTGTCTGTTGCATCATCATCATATGGTATATCTTGCAACTGATTCTGGAGTTCCTCAAGAGCCTATTGCGAGAGGGGTAGTAGGAATAGGCTATCTCGGTCATCTGCTTGCATGACTTCCCTCATAGAGGCCTCTTCATTTCTGGCAAATGAGGCCAATCTTGGGTAGGTTTGTGATAGCATTGAGTCAGCCCACAGATCATCCCAGAAATAGATAGAGGAGCCATTACCCAATTCACACCGGTGACACCTCTTAAAATGGTGTTAAGCCTGAGTACATCCTTCCACCAAAGGATCCTGATTCCCTAGCTGCATGGGGCACCTTGGTTGTATAATATCTGCTCCAGACCAAATCAACCCAGGGAATATTTGCTCTATTATAGAATTTATTTAAGTGCTTCATAAGCAAGTCATCATTCTGCAATCTTAAATTTAGAACACCAAGGCCACCTTTCTCTTTTGGTTTCATGACAATTTCCCAAGCCACCAGATTGCCACCTCTCTTCCTATCATTATATTGCCTCGCCAGAGGCACTGCTTTCTTGCATGATCAATATTATCAATGACTCCCTTCGGTAATTTGATGGTGCACATTGCATAGGTAGTGATGGGCGTAATAGCCGAATTCACCATCTCGAGTTGACCTGAGTATGATAACCAGGTAGAGCATGCCGAAGCCTTCTCTCCACTCTGTCCATCATTGGGGTGAGGTCCTCCATATGCGGTTTGGTTGTACCCATGGGCAACCCGAGGTATGTAAATGGCATAATTTCAATATCACATCCAAAGATATTAGCTATGTGTGACAACTTTTCCCGAGAAACATTTATAGGATACATATGTGACTTTCTATAGTTGACATGGAGGCTTGTCGATTCTGCGAAGCTGTGGAGCAGTGCTTTGAGGAAAAATAGCTGCCTGGCATCCGCTTGGAGAAGCAACAATGTGTCGTCCGCATACTGAACGATTGGGAAATCAGTCATCGGTTGGGGAATTGGCACTTTCAATAGATTCAAAGATGCAGCTCTGTTGATCAAAATCTGCAGGAGCTCAGCCGCAAGCACAAACAAAATCGGAGACAGTGGGTCACCTTGACGAACACCCCTCTTACACTTAAAGAATTTCCCAGAACCTGTTGAGAGAATAGCATGGACCCAAGACAACCACCTTTCTGGAAACCCCAAGTGTCTCATGACTTGTATGATTGTTGTATGCTCAACCGTATGGAACGCTTTCTCAAAATCAAGCTTGAGGATGACTATTTCACATTTAGACTGATGACACTGATGAATATACTCATAACTCCAGGCGAGGCAGTCTTTTATTGTTCTTGATTGGATAAAGCCGTATTGATTGGGGTGAACAACTCATAAGATGACTGTTTGCAGCCTTTCAGCAAGTACCTTGGTAATCACCTTCAAAGAAATATTCATCAATGATATAGGCCGAAAGTCACTCACTGTCTCTGGACTATTCTTCTTTGGCACTAGAGTAATGTATGACGTGTTGATACACTCTAGGTTGATCAGACCAAAGGAGAAATTCGAGCAAAGTGAGTAAGCCCCCCTCCTTTCTTCCTCCTCAAGATATAGTACTATTCCGTGGAGGAAGAAGGTGGGCTGTAATATATATTGGGCCAATTGGTAGAGGTGGTAGAGCTGCCTCTATTAAGTCGTCTCTAAAAATGGTCACCATCTAGAAATATCTATTTTCAGAAGCGACCGGGATTTCCAACTGATTTTGAGAGAGCATTCCCGGCCATCCCTGAATGTGTGTTTTTAGAGGCAGCTTTGGCTTATGGGTCCTGTTAGAGATCTTGGTAGAGGCGGTTGCCTCTGCACTGAAACATAGACGCCTCTACCAATCAATTCTGTACTAGTGACGAAATATCTATTTTCAGAAGCGACCGGGATTTCCAACCGATTTTGAGAGAGTATTCCCGGCCATCCCTGAATGTGTGTTTTTAGAGGCAGCTTTGGCTTATGGGTCCTGTTAGAGATCTTGGTAGAGGCGGTTGCCTCTGCACTGAAACATAGACGCCTCTACCAATCAATTCTGTACTAGTGACGGCACTCTCCTCTCTTGCCCGTGAACCGGAAAGTCGTCGTCGTGTCAGCTTTGCTTCGGTGGGAAGGCATTCCAATCAATTCCTTTGCATGGTGGAGAAGCTGGCACAGTGAAAAGCAGAGCAGCATCTTGGTTTCTGTTCGCTCCCCTCCCCTCCCCTCCCCTAAATAAAGCGTCGTATTCTTCGTTGATTCCAGAGAGCGGCGGTGTGTCTAAGATCGAAACACTCTAGATAGCCACTGGCTGAGCTTGTCTTCCCACTGGATTGAGATTTATATATATGCGCTTTGGTCTGGGCGACGCCGCCGCACCTGAGCTCGAACTAGAGCTAGAGCTAAAGCTAGAAATGGAGGACGTGGACGTGAAGGCCTGCTCGGGCTCCAGCCCCGTGACCGCCAGCGCCATGGCGGCCTCGTACAACGACCAGATCCGCCCGCTGCTGGACGCCGTGGACCGCCTGCGGCAGCTGAATGTGAGCCAGGAGGGCATCCAGCTCCCGACCATCGTCGTCGTCGGCGACCAGTCCAGCGGCAAGTCCAGCGTGCTGGAGTCGCTGGCCGGCATCAGCCTCCCGCGTGGGCAGGGCATCTGCACCCGCGTGCCGCTCGTCATGCGGCTGCAGGACGGCAACGAGCCCGAGCTGCGCATCGAGTTCGGCAGCGGCAGCTCGGTGACCATCGCCTCCGAGGCGGAGGTCGCAGCCGCCATCGACGCCGCGACAGCTGAGATCGCGGGATCCGGCAAGGGCATCTCGGACGCGCCCATCACCCTCGTCGTGCGAAAGAAGGGCGTGCCCGACCTCACCCTCGTCGACCTGCCGGGCATCACCCGCGTGCCCGTGCAGGGCCAGCCCGAGGACATCTACGACCAGATCGCCAGGATCATCAGGGCCTACATCACGCCCAGGGAGAGCATCATCCTCAACGTCCTCTCCGCCACGGTGGACTTTCCGACGTGCGAGTCCATCCGCATGTCGCAGCAGGTGGACCGCAGTGGCGAGCGCACGCTCGCGGTGGTCACAAAGGCCGACAGGGCCCCCGAGGGCCTGCTGGAGAAGGTCACCATGGACGACGTCCACATCGGCCTGGGCTACGTATGTGTCCGTAACCGCATCGGCGACGAGACATACGAGGAGGCGCGAGTGGCCGAGCGGCGGCTGTTCGTGGAGCACCCTCTGCTCTCCCGGATCGACAGGTCAATGGTGGGCATCCCCACGCTCGCTGGGAGGCTCACGCAGATTCAGGCGTCCATCATCGGCCGGTGCCTCCCCGACATCGTCAAGCAGATCAACGACAAGCTCAGCCGCAGCAGCGACGAGCTCGGCCAGATGCCTCCGGACCTCAACACCGTCGCAGACGCGGTGAGGGAATTCTACCACATCGTCAAGCAGGTGCGCGCTTCGCTGGAGAAGGTGCTCGTGAGGGGCGAGTTCGACGAGTACCCAGACGACCGCAGGCGCCACGGCACCGCGCGCATCGCCGAGATGCTCGAATCCTACGCGAGCAAGCTGCCCGCCGCCGCCCAGTGCTCGACGAGCGACGACGTTGTCGGCGAGCCATTCCTGGCGGAGGAGATGCGAGTCCTGGAGGAGACAAAGGGCATCAAGCTCCCCAACTTCCTGCCACGGTCCGCGCTCCTGGTGCTGCTCAGGAAGAAGCTGGAGAGCGTCGCGCACGTCCCGCACGGCCTCGTCACCCAGGTGTGGGGCTACGTGGAGGAGTTGGTCTTGGGGATCCTGCAGCACCACTCGCGCAGCTACCCACAGGTGCATCCGTCCTGCCGCCGCGCCGTCGAGAGCCTCATGGACAAGGCGAGGGCGCGGTCGGCGCAGCACGTCGCGGAGCTCATCGACATGGAGCTGGTGGCCGACTACACGGCGAACCCGGACTACACGATGAAGTGGAACGACATGATGGCGACGGAAGGCCATGCCAGGTTCCTCCAAGCCGTGGAGGACCACTCGAAGCCCGCCGTGGTGGAACTGCCGGGATTTGGCGAGGTGGACGTGTCGCACCTCAGGCTGCAGCAGCAGCAGCAGAAGCTCGCCGGGCAGGCCTTGGACTTGAAGGCACGCCTGGCCGCGTACTGGAGCTGCGTCGTGCTCCGCCTCGTGGATGGCCTGGCGCTGCACGTCCTCTACAGTGTCAAGCGTCTCGTGGAGAAAGATCTGGAGGATGAGCTCGCAGCCCAGGTTCTGGGCAGCAACATGGACGGAGTGGAGCGGATGCTGGTGCCAACGCCGGCCACCGCCGCCAAGCGTGACCGCCTCAGGAAAAGCATCTCGCTGCTCCGGGAGTGCAGGGAACTCGTCGCCAACACTATGGACAAAATTAACGCCGCCAGCAGTGATCGCTGCTTCTAGTTCTAGCTGCTCTTCGATCCAAGTACCATCATCGATCGATCCATGCATATCCCCACCCAGCCACGATTCCATCCATATATTCATACTCCATCCTAAGCTAGTAGCCAGCAGTGATGTAGCTACGCATGAAATGAGAAAGGCTTGTAGTACTTGTAGCTCTACTCGATCGATCGCCCAACTGTGCACGCCTTGATATTGTCTCGTAATAATAATCTAAATAATTAATTACTCCCCTCCATTTTTCGATACAAAAATGGTTTTGGCTGTCACTGCTGAACTAGCACATCGATCTTATTCCCACTGCACTATCTAATTTTCTTATCCCATTATATTTGATCCTTTTTTCATGTCATGTGATTCAGTAATACTCTTGCAACAAGGAACTCACCAATAATCAGCGCGGAAGCAAGTATATAAAGCTCTGTTTTAAGAAGTACAAAAGGGAAGTAATATCACGGCAATTATTATTTTTTAATAAAAGAATGGGCAATAGAGCTGGCTATTAGAAGCACTAGTCTATCATTCTGTATTCCTGTATGTACAGACTAGAATCTTATCAGACATAAGTATAAAAGTTGGTGCTTAATGCCGACGACTAACCAAAATTACCTATCTGTTCACGCGCGCTGTTTCGCGTTTCCATCGACGCCGTCCCGCTCGATCCGTCGCTCGGCCCGGCAACTAGGAACTGATGATTTTTCCTGGAGGTGAGCCCCGCCAGCGCATGCAGACCTTTTTTTGGATACCCTGCGTCCACATGCAAAGCAATTTCGTCCGCGACGTCTGCATGCAGCGCTCCAATCCCACTCTCGGCCAGCCCACATGCAGAGTAACTCAGCACTTTTCATCCTCTTTTTTTTCAACACGTCGCAGGGACAAACAGCTACACGTTACATCCAAAATTTTAATTATTTATTTGAGTGCACCACCGAAAACAGTAGTTTTGCCGTGTGCCATGGACACTCGGCAAAGCTCGAAAAACACTCGGCAAAGGGCACACGATATCTACAGAATCGGCAAACAGCAGCTTTGCCGAGTGTTTTCTGTCGGGCACTCGGCAAAGACTTTGCCGAGAGCTGAAAACGACACCCGGCGAAAAAAAGTACGTCACGGAGTGGAAACGGTCACGGCATATTTGCCGAGTGTCAAATATTAGGCACTCGGCAAAGCTTGCCTTTTTGCCGTGTGTCAAAGTTTGGGCCCTCGGCAAAGATTGATTTTTGCCGTGTGTCAAAGAGGGGGGGACTCGGCAAAGTGACTCCTTTTGCCGTGTGTCAATGTATGGGCACTCGGCAAAGACCGTTCCGAGTGTCATAGGGCAGACACTCGGCAAAGATGCCATTTTAGTCCCAGAATGCACAGAATTTTGCCACGTGTCCACTTTGCCGAGTGTTTTACACCTAGCACTTGGCAAAAAGCCTCTTTGATGCCACAAATAATCAGTTTATTTGGTTCGGTCACAGCCACGTACCACATTCAAATAAACATTACATCCATCACAGATAGTTCACAATAGGCATCATAGGCAATTCATATAGATATATCGACAACATATAGATGCAAATAAACTTCAGAATCCACAAATAGTAGTCACAGCTCATTCACAACCACAAGTAGTCACAGGTAATCGACAGATATAAATACAAATAAAATCACAAGTACTTAGGCCACGAGTTCACTGCGACAGGGCTTCACTTAGGCCACGAGTTCCACTACGACGGGGTTGGGGCATGAGGCTCATTCGATGCCGCCGATTGATGCTGCATAAAGGAGAAAGGATTGGCATGTGTGAGACAAGATTAAACAACACTAGTAGTCTCATTCGGTGACGCAATGGAATCACAATATAAAAAAATCCAGGGAGAGGTTCATGCCACGGCCTAACTCTTAATAGTCACATAATGGAATATTCATTAAGATGGTAGGAAGTACTAACTATGCAAGGGGGCTATTGTCAGCATTACATTGTAGATATATAGTGTTGTATACTGATTAGGATAGCATACTGAAAACCATGGAAATAACAGGATACTCACAATACAAAAAAAACTAAAACACACTAATACGAGGAACAAACTAAAAAAAGACATTTTAAATAACTGACAATCTCTAGATGACATTTTGAATAACTTTACTCTCTTTCAAAGGATGCAAAGTAAGATTGATTTTGCATAAACTAGATTATAAGGTTGTAATCACAGTGCCTGAAACTGTATTTGGAGCAGGAGGAGGGGCTGGAAACGGTGGTGGAGGTTGACCGATTGCAGCATAAACACCCCTCATATATTCAAACATCTGTAGCTCCATCCTCTGCCGCTCTGCCACCATCTCTGTCTCCATCCTCTGGCGCTCTGCCTCCATCTTCACATCTAGCTCCTCCCGGTGCCTCGTTTCTTGTTCTAGCTGAGCCTACAATATTTCATCCCAATGTTACAATGCAATGCAAAAGTATGTAAAAATCAATGAACGATGAATAAAATAGAAATAACCTAGAGTGCGCTCATCTGGAACCGTGTAGAGTCCGGCCGTGGGTGTATCGCCGGACTGGAACCCGTGCTCCGTGCTCGAATCTGGGAGAGAGTGGGAGTATTGGCCGTGTCGATGGTGCCGTCGCCAATCTAGAACCGGCCATGCTTCTTGCCTCCTCCCGCCCTCATGACCACTTCTCCATCAAGGTCATGGGTGCTCAGATCGTACTCTGAGCCACGGACCTGCCTTGCCATCGATGTGTATCCTTCGAGACGGCTGTGGACGGACTTGTTGTTGTACGCCGAGGGTGGGTCCTCCGGGTTGTAGGCGACGTCGGACGTCGCCTTCCCCTTGTGGGCCAAAGCATATGCCACGAACTGGGTGCAGGGCTGGCCACCATGTGACGCCGACGCCAAAAAAAAAGCAATATGATTAGAAATTATGTAGAGTTGAGCCTTAGAATAAAGAAATGAATTCGCGTACCCATCTAGCCGCGTATTCTGAGAGGTTGAGGTTGCCTTGATGGTGTGTTGGACCCGGCATTAGCAAACACCGCTCCCAGCAAGCGTTGTGATTCTCCTGCCATGCGGGGTCGCACCACCTTTCCACCATCCGGGCCTAGCACTGCATATCATAGGCGCACCAACACGGAGGCTCCTACGTTATCAAGTATATGACATATAAGAAGATGAAATTAAGCGCAATTAATCTTAGAAAAAATAAGTATTAATGTTCTATATTTACCTTCATGTATTGTTCCGAGGTCAGGATCATGGTTCTTGCCGCCCTTTTAGGGATCCTCTCTCAAAGAAATTCCGCGTGGTATTGGATCACGGCCTGGATGCGCGCCTCGTAGTGCATGTCCTTAATGAGTTTCTTGGTGGCTTTGTCAGCCACAGCATCCGCCTTAGCCTCGTATCCCTCCTCACATCTAAAGAAATCCTGCATATAGACACGATGTATGCGATGTATCCAATCATTAATGTCCAATCAATGCGATGTATTGAGCAATGTAGTGCGAGAAAGACTTACCCAAAGCTTGGCCTTGACACGCTGTACCTTATCGGCGAAACACCTGCCATCTCTATCAGTGGTGTCGGAGACGGCGGCATAGTGGGCCCACGTGTAGGCCGTCTCGACAGTTCCGCCGAACTGCACACTAGGCCAGGGAACTTTTCCTTGATCAAAAGACCAAGGATGTCATTCACATGGCATGCGTGATCACCCCCACCGACCTTCCTCCAACCCCTGTCCAAGTGATTAAGATAAATTATTAGTTTCTATTATAATTTTGAACATATCAAACAAAAAATTAGTGATAACATATAAAGTTACTTCTCTCCATCGGGTCAAATCAGCGGGCGTCTCTCAAGAGGTATCGGTCGCTTCGGGAGGGTCGAGGGACCTCGCAACCACACACCTGTACTAGAGGAAGAGGTACCCCCTGTCTCCTCCTCCATCCCTGCCTCCTCCTACACCCCTGCCTCCTCCTCCACCTGTACCTCCTCCTTAGAGGATGAGTGAGCAGAAGGTAACTCAGACGACGGCGATGAAGGTACAGGCGATGGTGGCCTCGTCTTGCCTCCACCCTTCGCTCGACCCTTGGGTCTACCCCGAGGTCTCTTCCCAGACCCCTCAGCTACATCGGACCCTTTACTCGTCGCTATCGCTTTTGAGTAAAGCGACATTATCCTCCTCATACCGCCCACCATTGTTCAATCACCTGCAATTAAAAAGAGTAAACCAATTAGCACAGATAATACATCAAAATAGATGCAAAATAAACAAAACATACTTAGAAAATAACATGGTATGACAAATAATAAATCAATTAGCACGGATCATACATGTATTAGAAATAATCATCATCATCGGGATTAGCTGGATCATAGGTCTTATCATCACTATCACACATGTCGATATAATCATCCTTGTGCTCCAAAGGAGGAATGTCGTCATCACCGTCGTTGCTTAGATGTAATCGCTGAAGTAATTTTAAGTCCTTCACATTCTTAATCTCGTCACCGGCGTCCTCGTCAGCACCACTTTCATTGTCTACTTCCATTCCCTGAGCTTTGGTTAAGTCTATCTCAAAACTCCCTTCGAGCCCATCTTCTTGAAAGAACTCTCCGTCATATGTGTTGGGGTCTATGTTGTAATCTTGATTGTTTAGTACAGGTAGTTTACCGTGTGATGATACCTTGTACACAACATCCCAACCCTTAAGACGGTCTACAGTTTGGCATGGGTATGAGAGATAATAAACTTGCGTTGCCTATTGAGCCACAATATAGACATCGTCTTCTGGTAAGATGGATGATTGTCGAATTTCGACTAGCCCAAGATTAGGGGTCTGCCTCACTACTTCAGGATCAAACCAATGGCATTTGAATATAACGGGATTAAGAGGTTTGCAACCGTGAAACATGAGTTTGTATATTTCTTTAATTCTTCCGTAATACTCAACCCCATCTAAGCCTTGCGTAAAAACTCCGGTATTTGTGGTTCTTCGATTGGGCCGACTCTGCTCG